GGGTTCTTTCTGACCTTGTCTTGGTCCTTGCCGCACCTTCTCGGGGTTCTTTTTGATCAATCCGGGTTCTTTCTGATCTTGTATGTACCTCATCCGGGTTGTTTTCTGATCAATCCGGGTTCTTTCTGAATTTGTCTTGGTACCTGCAGCACCTCTTCGGGGTTGTTTGCGCTTCGTCCAGGTTCTTTCTGAACTTGTATGTACATCATCCGGGTTGTTTTCTGATCAATCCGGGTTCTTTCTGGACTAGCTCTCAGGAGCGTGTTTTCCTGATCTCATGGTACCGATGTAGCTCCCCTGCATGTTAAACATAAAAATATGTTGTAAATGACATTCCGGATATGAAGTAGGGAGCATGTCCCATATTTGAATAATCAATTAGGGCGAGCCCCCATTATGAAATGCATATAAACTTTTTTGTCTCTTGCTCTTGCTAGGCCATGCAAATTCCTCGTAGTGTCTGTTACGTTTAAGCACTTGAATCTCTCGCGTATGGTTCAGAGGTTCATGACGTGACCATGTGAGCTCTGCACTTTCGGTTCGTGACCGTCCATGTGAGTAGACAAGCTTCACGGATTAAGGCGTGTTCTACCCGAGGAATTCGGCGACCGTTAAGAGAAGACCTAGAGCACTATGTTTGCTCGCATGATGATTTTTTGTGTCTTCCCTTGCTAGGTCGGTTAATTTCTTGGGTAGTAGCTTGTTACGTTTAAGCACTTGAATCTCGCGTATGGTTCGAGAGGTCTATTGACGTGACCACCCGTATGGTTCAGAGGTTCTTTGACGCGTGACCATTCGTATGGTTCGAGGTTCATTGACGTGACCATCCATTCGAGAAAACAAGCTTCACGAATTAAGGCTTACTATCCGAGGAAACTAACGTACCGTTAGGGAAGATGATATGGCCACAGAGAGGCATCTGAATAATATCCTAATGTAAAAAATTAAAGCGTTATTTAGCTTGGTTCATGGTAGAGTTGTCGATCACCGTGGGCGGGTAGTTGATCGGCGTGGCGCCGCGCCTTCGAGTAGTTGGCGTAGATGGAGGTAGACTTGATAGCTCTCTTGTCACCGACATGTCGAGTACTCGATCAACTCGGAACCCGTCGCGTGTACTCAAAATCACGCCGAGTATCGTGGAAGCCGTTGTCGAGTGCCCGTTGAGTCCGAGTAGTGGAGATCTTGATCTCGGCGTCTTCCGAGCCGCGCAGCGAGTTATCAACGAGGTTGACGAGAGCCGCGGCGAGTTGTCGACAAGGCCGACGAGGGTCGCGGCGAATCTTTATTTTGAGGTCCACCGAGCTCTCGAACGCAAAGCGCCGAGGTCCCCTACCTGGCGCGCCAGCTGTCGATGTTTGATCACCGATAGCCCGTCACGGGGTACCCGGGACGTTGATTGTTTCGGAGGGGTATCGGCGTTTGCAGGAACTCGATGGTAAATGCAAGGAGACAACGATTTATACTGGTTCGGTACGCCGGAAAATCACGGCGCCCTACGTCCAGTGTGGGGTGGATAGTATATTGCGCCCTGCGCTATTTGTTGTGGTTGTGAGTTCTGTCGGTCATGTCTGTCTGGATAGGTCTGCCGATCTAGGGACCCCTGCCCTCCTTTATATAGTTCAGGAGAGGCGGGAGTCCTAGTCGGTTACAAAGTAGAGATCCTAGTAGGATTACGTGTAACTAGTCCTAATAGGATTACATATAGGGAATCCGAGTTGGACTAGGTCTTCTTTTCTCTTCTCCGTGGGGAACCTTATGGGTCCCGCATCGACAGGGTGGATTCAGCTATAGGGTGGGCGGGGCTCGAACCCTACCATCTTCCGCACAATGGATCCCCCTTGAGCCCCTCTTCCATTTTTTGTGGAAAAAGAAGGAAGAACAACAGGGACGAGGAAGATAGAACGGAAGGAGGAAGAAGGGATGATAAGTAAGGGGAGGAAGAAGCAAGCCCCTCGCATTCTATGTTGGATCTGCCATTGTTTACTATCCATCACCAAGTAGATCTCATAGCCAAGCACTTTCCACCCATGTCTTGTTCCTTCAAGCTGTCCAGGCTCGTTTGGACATTGATGTAAGTTTAGAGACCTATAAGTGTAGGTATTTGAAAATGGTATCATGAGAGTTTGATACTTGGATGTCATCCCAGGACAAATTAGGAAACACGAAAATACATTTTTGGAGTTAGAGGACATGAATGATACCGAAGGATAAGTTCAGGAATCGCTCGTGTATTTTACTCTTCGAGCATTAGACAATATTAACCCATCATGTTGAAAATAAATTGTAGTACACCATTGAGAGGTAGGCTAGTTTCAATCTTGTTTTCATCAAGTTTATTAACTACACTCTAGCTTACTCACAAAAACAAACTAACAAAGAGAGAAGACTGGTGACGATGAAGAAAAAACATACAATCTAGCTATGCATTTATTTGCCACATTTGATTAGAACCACAACATATGCTCACGTACATCTCATGAATTTGTGTCCATTCAGTGACTGCCATGTCTATACTATACCATGTAATATGATTTTCATGTCCAATGTGCAGTGACTCATGCTAGATCTATACTACCTCTGTTCCAAAAAAGATGTAATTTTAGGTTTGGCGAGAGTCAAATTTATTTAAGTTTGACTGATGGCCAGTTTCGTAGGGCTTTGGCTCCTCCTGCAATGACTTCAACTCTTATTCCTCTAGGGAACAATTTCTCTAGTGAAGTTGAAGCACTTTATAAAAAAAAAGTTTGGCAATCCAGCTCTGGAGAGTATTTGTGAGAAAAGGAGAGAGTATTTGTGAGAAAAGGAACAAGTAGAAGCTAAAAGTTTTGGTTGTGATTCTTTGATGGATTTAGGGCGAAGCCATTTTTGATACCCTATTTGGTATGGCTTCTTGAGAAACTAGAGCCCTTATAGAAATCCGGACCCTAAGTTAATATTTCATAGTCCAAATAGATATATTTACAAAAATATATTTCATGATGACAATTTAAAGATACTTATTCAGTATGATAAATATTAATATTTTTTATATAAATTTAGTTATTAATTTGACTGAGTACTATTCTAGAATTGCATATTATTTTTAGATCAATAGGAGTGGGAGTCATTCACACGTCCCTTTACACAGTGATTATGTCTATCACATCTATTGCCATCTTAAACATGGTTCAAAACGTACACATGTACTCCGTATGTTTTAGATGGATGCATGCACGTTTTACCGTGCTTTGGTGTCATGTCACTTACAGATTCAGGACATTAGTTTGGCATATCATTTAGTGCACCGATTAATGCCCGTGTGCAGTTAGCCAACAAATCATAAATCATGGACCCTTGTAATAGGATTACAGGAAGGGGCTTACTTGCGCCCGGACGTCCGGACAGAAGCAAGCGTTCAGATGTCCGCGCTGCGCCCGCCGCTCAGCCCAGCGCGTGCTTGTCCGTGCGTCCCACGCGGCGCACTCGCCCTTCACACTAGCGGACGTGTGGCCGAACACCCAGCGAAGCGCACCTTCCAAGGTTGTCAGCTGGGCCCGCCAGCGGTCAAAACGGATTGGCAGAAAGCGGCAATGCTCCAGCACCCCTGCCTCTCCGATGGGTCCCATGATGGGTGGCTATCTGTCTCCCGCACACGCCCACTAGTTGGCCCCACACACGGACATGCATCGGAGCATGCATGCCCGCCCTGCTGCTCACCGCGCCATGCTCGCCCTGCTGTTGCTTGCCCGCGCCCTGCTGCTCGTTCGCGCCCTGCTGCTCACCCTCGCCATGCTACGCGCCTGCGCCTGCTCGCTATGCCGCGCCCCTTGGCGCTCACCCGCCCCGTGGGGACCGCCTACGCCCGGGGGACCGCTTCCGCCTCACGAAACACTTGCAACATGAAGGACTTGCTGTAACATATGTCTAAACCAAATGAAACATTTGGAACATATATTTGCAACATATGTGTGTAGCCAATGCAACATATGTAACATTTGGATAAAACACTTGCAACATATGTCTGAAACAACTGAAATATTTGAAACACACAATTGCAACATGAATCTAAAACACTTGAAAAAACACCTGAAAACACTTGAAAACCTTGGCAAACATATGCAACATCCAGATAAATAAACTTGCGACATACGTCCAAAAACACAGATGAAACATGGGTAACAGACCTTTGCAACATACGTGTACAACCATTGCAACATATACAACATCCCGATCAACTTTTGCAACATTCATCTGAAACACTTGCAACATACCTTTGAAACATTTGAAACACTTGAAACATACATTTGCAACATGCGCTTTCAACAAAGCCAGGCGGGCGGGGCACTACACAGCGGGATCTGGCTTGTGCGGTTGCGGTGGAGGAGGATGACAGCGGGCGAGCGGTTGAGTGCCCCCCGGTGAGCGGCGGCGCTGCCCCGGCGATAGGGTGCACACGGTGCCCGTGCCGAGCGATGCCTATGGTGGAGTCGACAACTGTAGTCGGTGGGTGTGTCCTCGCGCGGCGAGGCGACAGCGGCTGTGCGGTCCGGGAGGAGCATGCCGCGACGGTGTAGGCACGACTGTGGTGGAGAGGAAGGCCGGCGGGAGGCGTGATGGAGAGGAAGACGTGCGAGAGACGCAGCAGAGCGCGGCTGCGAAACGCAGCCGTGAGTTTTTTTTTAATCTGCGGCGACTAGAGGGGAGGAGGAGCAGATAGAAACGGATAAAATAGATAGCCTTCTGGACGGACGGTCTGATTCGTAGCATTACCGTTCCATGAAACAAATACTCCATTTCAAAACCCTGCGCGTGGATAGCTCGTCAACCAAACGAGCTGGCTCGAGCTTCAGCTCGACTTCCAGCCCGTAACGGAACGGCCCAAAGGCCCATCTCACTAAAGAGACTCGCTGGCGCGCGGCTTGTGGGCTGTGGGCTTCTTTGCTGTTCGTCGTCTCGTCTCCATCGCCGACGCAAAGCTGCGACTGCGAACCTGCGCGGCCACGAGGGAGAGAGAGACGGCCATGGTGGCAGCGATGGAGCTGGAGATCCTAGGCATGAACTTCGGGTGCGTCCTCGCGGCGCTGGCCGACGCCAAGATCCCCGACAAGGACTGCCTGCTCCCGCTCATCTCCAAGCTGCTCGGCTACGCCATCGTCGCCGCATCCACCACCGTGAAGCTACCCCAGGTTCCCTCGCCTTTCTCTTGGTACTAGTTAAAGGTTCTTCCACGCGTCTAATTATGCGTGCCTGTGTGCGTCTCGATCTGTGGCGAGCTCGTCCGGTGGGTTGGGTTCCGGCGCTGGGTGTGAGGACGGATCTCAATCTCATGTTCTTTGCCTGAGCGTGGCGTACGGAATTTTGCATAAAGGGTCCATTTTTGGAGGCTTCGGCTGTGAGCTTGGCGCGGCGCGGTAGAAGAGCGTAGAAATTAAGGGGGGAAAGCCGCTGGAATTCTTTCTTTGTTTGTGGGATGCAGGTGGATTGGTGTGATCCTTGCTGCTGCTTGAGTGTAGAGCACGAACTCTTGCAGTTACTTCCTCTCTCAAGAGCTTTCCCCTGCTCAGAAAATTCTAGCTTCTCGGTCCTGACCTCAAGGCTGGCTGGCTGGCTGGGCATTGATCAGTGAATATGATCTCAGCACTCCCCGTCGTGCTCTGCTATGGGATCACCGCTAGTGCATTGCAATCCCAGTCAGTCCACCAAATAACATCCTCTACAAGCCCCGTATCAGCCTTCTTAAAACTATCAAGGGACCCTCATCCTTGATGGTTTGTAGTTCACAAATACAAGCAATAAGAATCCAGTCACTGTGTGACAACCAAAATTTGAAGGCCATAGAGATGAGCGAAGAGAAGAGGCGGGCTTCAGGGATGGGAATCATGCGCATGACCATTGGATGCTTCCTATCGTGTCCACTGGACGCAAACAACCTGCTGCCTTTCATCTCTAAGATCCTCGGGTATTCCATTATTGCTGCTTCCACTGCTGGCAAGCTCCCTCAGGTGCTTGAATCTAGCATGAAAAATTAAGAATTAAGCGCCAGTTTCACAGTTGTGGAGGAGTTTGCTTCTTAACCTTTCATCTAGATAGCCAAAGGGCGCTTAGTTCAAACGGTTAGGTGACCCAGCGGCACTCCTCAGGTCCTGGGTTCGACTCCCCGTGGGAGCAGATTTCAGGCTGAGGTTAAAAAAATCCCCTCGCCCGTCCCCATGTGCCAAAGCGCAGTGAAGGCCCCGGCCCGGTTCTCACAGGGTGACGGCACCTCCTGCGTCAGGATGGGGGAGGGGGTTCGGGGGTTTTCTCGATCTGTGTGAGAAGATCCTTCTTCTTAATGGAAAACCCGGGGGCCGTCATAACCCCCCGCAGGTCGAGTTTTTTTTTAACCTTTTATCTAGATATGCTTGCAATTTTTTATGTTATGACCTTGTGTTATTAGGTAGGCTTACAGCCTACTTGTGTTTGGTATAGGAAAATTTGCAAAGGAAATAAAAGAAGAGGGCGCATGTGGCTTTTCCTTTGTTATAGGGTTGTCGGTTTGCATGATTTTGTTATGTTACATGAACCCTTGAAATGACAAGGATCATCCGAGCTATTGTGCCACGAGTGGTAATCGAGGACAAATATATTGGGTCTAGTTTGCAACTACCTCAGAAGGTTGAGTTGAAGAGCTTGCAGTATATGCTTATTGACTTTTAGTAGCACAAAATTAATGGGTTGCAAATGTTGTGAAATGAATGTTGAAGCAAACAATTTTTTACCTTCTTGTCCTGGTACTTGGATTAGAGATTGTAAAACCTTCAAACTCTTGTCTTGCTTAGAGAAAGATGTTGTTAACTATTAAGAATAATGTAGAAATTAATCCATGATCATACATGGCTAAAAGAATTGTTGTTGATACGCATAATAAGAGAAGATATGATTCAGTTCCAAGATTTTGATTATGTTTCCAAAATCTTTCTTGTACTTTAGAATTGGTTACCTTCTCCTTTTGACTTCCCACCATAGTCACAAATATGCCCTGCTGCAGATACTGAAAATTTTGAAGCATGGAAGTGTTAGAGGACTTAGTGTAGCATCCTTTGAACTTGAGGTCGTCGGCTACACAATTGCTTTGGCATATTGTATTCATAAAGGACTTCCCTTTTCAGCTTATGGGGAGCTAGCTTTTCTGTTAATCCAAGGTTTGTATTTGACTTCATGTCTTGAGTAGGCAGCGTATGTTTCGAAAGCTTCTGTAGCTCTCTTTATTGATCCTCTTAACTGATGCTTTTATCCGATATATGCAGCAATTATCTTGGTTGTGATCATTTACTATTACTCACCACCAATGGGAACCAAAACATGGATGAAAGCTTTATTGTATCCTTCATTTCTTGCTGTTTATTCTAACTTCGCTTTTGTGCTGCCAATAAAGATGTGCCAAGTCCCATGGAGCAGTTCAATGAAAACCATCAAACTTTATTAATATTTTGTCTGATTACAATGTTTGACCTGCTTTCCCTATATAGTGGTCATTTAGATATTGTGGAATGGCTCCAACGGTTTTGGCTGGAAAAATTGATCCTGCTCTTTTTGAAATCCTTTATGTAAGTAGTGACTAGTGAGTGATTTTTGGTTGTATTAACTTACACATGATGGTGTATATGCTCGTCCTCTTGACTTATTGTCTAATATTTTGTACAGGCTTCACAGCATGCTATCTTCTTTTTTGCTAGAGTTCCACAGATATGGAAGAATTTTACGGTACAATGTCACATTTCTGTCACACCTTACTACATGAAGCTATACAATATTTTTTCTCGAATACGCAGGAGAACTGCGTATCATTGTATTAATAGTAGAGAAAGGAGTCATACAGAGACCCAAATACACACACAAACACACACATCCACTTACTGACTGAGACTAATCACCTATGACTGAGATGAAAGACCTGACCAAAGACCCTCTAACCATATACAATATTATATTCCTTTTATAGCAAGTTGGCTGTATTAGGTGTGAGGCTAACCAATGCTTAAATCTGTACCATCCAATATATATTAGCTCTGGACATTTGACTGCAGTCTGGAACATAGATGTTTGATAACCCAACTGCATTAATGAACTGCACTACTATCAATCAGCATGTTGTGAAAATTTTATAAATGGAAGCTTGCAAAGAGTGATCAACCAATATCTTGGACAGCAATCTGCTTTAGTTGCTTGGGCTTTTACTGTCTTGTTGCAGTATTTTGGATTGGGCTACTTGAATTGGATGTTCTTAGGCACTTTCTCATAAGCTTTTATCTTTAGCACTATAATCTAACCTTGGTTAATATGAAGTGATTATTTCAAATATAACATGGCCATGCAATGTACTTTGCAGAATAAAGGCACCGGCGAGCTCAGCTTCCTTACCTGTTTCATGAATTTTGCTGGTTCTATTGGTAAGATTAAGTACATGCCAAAATTAGTTACAAACCATTATATTTTACCTTCTGGCTCATCTTCTTTGCTGATATTACTATTTTACAACACTATATTTATAATTAAACAGTATATGTATTTGACACTTTGTGGAGTTCATATTCGGAAAATATTTAGCATGACTTAAGTTAATGACATTATTAATTGGTCACACACATCTTTCCTTAATCAATAAACTTTTCAATCAGTGCTGAAAGCTCGTTAATCTTTGATACAATTTCTCCTGCAGTAAGAGTTTTTACCAGCATCCAGGAGAAGACTCCCTTAAGTGGTATCCTTGATTCTGATTGCAGTTACAATTTTCTATTCTAGTTTTAGATGCACCTGACCCAACTGCTCGTTAGAGGTAGTTAATAGAAGGGAAGTTGATAGAGTAACTCTATTTGCCCAACCCATATTAGGCCAATATCCTCATGGTTAAGTTTGATTTGGTAGCTGCTTATCTCAATAGTCAATCCTCTTCCAAAAGAACATGGTGACAATGGGCTTTGCAAAAAAAAGGATAAATGATTCACTTCCGCTAGTATCAAATTTTCCTACAAGCTTAATTATATATAACTTTTCCTGTCATCATATCTTGGTGACCTGTCATTATATCTTGGTGACCCTTAACTCCTGGAAAGTGATCATGGGCTCCGCAATCGGCATCATCATGAATGGTACACTCTTGGGTCAGATACTACTGTACCAGAAGCCCGCTCCGAAGAAGCAGAAGAAAGAAGATTAAGCAACATGCTGAGAGATGGCAGAAAGTTCTTCCTGGTTGTTTAGGATTCTATTCCAACACTCTACATCTGAGCAAAAGGCACCAGTATAGGAACTTGTTGGGAACTTGTTATGAGAAAAACCATAGTTATATCGACATTTCTGTGCTATTGCTTTTAGCACTTAGTAGTGTACCATGACTTATATAGTTCATACAATTGTCTTTAGGTAATGGCTGCAAGCTGCTGCTGATGGATACATTTGTTTGCTGCTGATGGGTTTTCCTTTATGTTGTGACGTTCCGTATTTTAGTTTCATTCAGCGTTTTTAGTTTGACCGCTGCTTAGTTGCACGAAGATTGATCAATGGGAGCAGAGCTGGTCTGCCTGTTGCTTCAACAAAAGATCATAAAAACGCTAGCTGTCAGCAAAGAATACATTCAGTAACCATCGAGTGATTATATCGTGTCGTGTGATTCTCATTATTTTGGAACCTTTTAAATTCTCATACCCCATCGGGCCATGGCAAGCTTCAACTTGAGTGTTATATTTATGAGTTTCTACCAGCTAAATTCGTGCTAATTCTATATGAATTTCACAGGGCATCATATGAAGTTACTTCGAAATCCTTCTATAGTTCTATTATAAATCGGCAAAAAAAAAACACCACGTTGTAAAAATCTTAATATCGACGCAAGTCATCACAAAAGGTACAGGGCAATTCTTCAAATATACTGGCCTATCAAATTCTCTGAAGCTTTATTACATGTTCATCGAGTCGTAACTCGTAACACCGTGTCTCATCAGCAAGCGGAGCGCCCATACAAGGTAAATAACATATATGGTCGCGAGATGAGGTTTTCAGAGCCCAAGATCAGGATGTTTTCAGAGCCTACGAACATCCAAAGGTACATGGTAAATCACATACGGTAGTCCAAGGAGACGAGTGCAGGACAACGTTCCTCGAAATGGCATGAGAGGCGTGTGTTTGTTACATTGTAAAATCAAGCCTCTGGGAGCTTGAAGATGGCTCCGAAAGGTTTCCAGAAGTCCACCTCTTCAGCATCTCCAGAGCAGCTTTCGGTTGATCCATCGGTACCATGTGACCAGCATCATGGACCTGTTGCACAAAGCGCCTCTAGTAAGTTTCCAAAGAGAGTGGATACCATTAACGTAATATGACAGTGACATCCCGTGAGGATAGCAAAGCATACGGGAGTACCATCAAACCAATTGTCACCTACATTCAGTTTCTTGTATTTCTAATTTTCTATGATTTACGTGCTTCCATTTGAGTGGTTTTATAAACTATGATTTATGAATATAGGCATATGTCTACCAATTACATTCAGTTCAGAATTGAAGATTGTTATCATCTAGAGGGAGCTGCATTTTTGTGCATAGTACAGATCTAACCTTCAAGAAACTCAAAGGACCATGGCTCTTTAGAATGCCAGCTTCTTTCCCATCAACTGTGAAGGGCTTCTCAGATGAGGAGACAAAAGCTTCCTTTCCAGACCATTCCATAGAGTTTACCCACCTTGAGTTCCCTGCTCAAATCAGGACAAGATTATGTACACATCAGGCAAAGCAAGAATACAATATATAAAAAGACAGTAATGGGGAAGAATAGATGGTCAGCATCAGCAGTATTGTCTTCCTGCTGTTATCCATCGAAAACTATCCTTATCTGAGATAACAATACCACCAGTTTGTGTACACATACTCATGCTACCAACTTCCTAGTAAAGAACTCACAAAACCTAATCATGAAGGAGCAAATAATAAGCCTTGGATGGAAAAGGTTATGGTGAATTAACGATTATCTGTGTCGAGTAAGACCCAGTGTTGTATGAAATAGCAAGCATAGGGTACCAGTGTTTATTATTAATAAGTTGCAAGATACTAACCAAGCCAGTTACATATAAGGTCATACTCTCCAGCATAAATTAACACTTTGATGTCGCTCTCAAGGAGTTCTGGGATTCCAACTTCAAGGTTCCTCATCCAATCTAATAACATGGCCTCATAGACAGTTGGGCTGCATGAAACGAACTCTATATCCCCAACTCCTAGGCTCTCCCTGACAGATTTGAGATTAAGAAATTTCTCCAAATTATTGAAATCATAGCACAGGCTTCCGATGCATGGTTTCCTGATGTCATAATACTGCAAAGCCAAGATGAGCACTGATTAGAAGGTTCCAAAACATGGTGCCAAAAATAGATCTGTATTTTGGCCCCTACATTTTTACTGCCTATGATTGTCCTGATGGCACTGAATATTGTATTGCAGACAAGGTACGCAGCAAGGCAAGATACAGTTCCAGAGGTGCCTGCAAAAGATGGAATTAGGTTTCATCAACTCATATTACAGGGCATCAGGGTGGGAGCGGAAGTTTCCCTTTGGAAAAAACAACTGGGAGTCTGGGACCAATGAGCAAATATGCAACAATGCTATGAACTAACTGCTAAAGAAACATTGACAACTGCTGATAATTCTGCAAGGTCAAGAAGCAAAATTTACTAATACTAGAAAAGATTTACTCAGAATTGAAGCAGGACTTACCACAAAGCTTGACAGCTAATTCACAAGTTGGAACTATTTTATTGATCCTGTTAAATTGTGTTTTTGTAATTAATCCCATATCCAACGCGTAATCAGGGTATGCCTTTTTCTGTATTGCTGGATCTGTTAGGCCGTTGCCAATTGCAAAACCCTGTAAATCATATAAAGTGAGGATCACACCATGACAATAATGTCTTTAACAAAGTAAAAGCATAGTACTTCACTCAAGACAGAGAAAAACTAAAACCTTCAAGTTAATGTGAATGCCCTCATTGTTCTTGTTTCCCTGGTGCACACGACTTGCAAAGGCAGGAATGTAATGCCCAGCATATGATTCACCGGTTATGAAGAAATCATTTTTAGCATACTTTGGGTGCTCAGCGAAAAAGGCCTGCCAGTATCACATGATTAGAAGCAAGAAAGCAAATTCATGATAAGAATGCAAAAAAAGACACATTCGCTTCTATATTCCTGCCTACGTTAAGGATTCTCGCTCTAGTTCAAATAAACTCCATGCCTTATTAATATAGGAATTCTACGTTATTTTTGGTCTAGGCACACAGCACATGTGAAAGGTACCATTGCAATTCATGTGACTAATATCTTACTACACTAGAAGCTGGCTAACTTCTACTATATTTAGCCATATAACTAAAGCGCATATGGCAACTTGGGGGCATAAATATAACTGAATGCATCATGTCCAGAACAGGATAGATAAACAGTACCTGCAGGAAGTCATATAGATCATTGCTAATAGTAGCTTCGTTGTGGCGAGTGTCACGGGAGTCGGAGCTGTAGCTAAACCCAGTTCCGGTAGGCTGGTCAACATAGATAAGATTTGATGCCTGCGGAGGCGGGAGGCCAGCCAACACACAAACAGAAGCAATGTTACACGGAGCTTCCAAAGAGAAAACATACAGGAGCACATCTGAACTCTTTCCAGACCCTGATTTAAAAATAATAATAATCGCCAATGGATCGGGGAGCGCAGGAGGAGCAGTGCGATATGTACCTTGTCCCAACCGAAATCATTCCAGACGAGCGACAAGTTGTCTGCTATGTTGAAGGGGCCGTTCTCGTAGAAGAGCGCGAGCTCGCTGCTGCAGCCGGGCCCGCCCGTGAGCCAGATCACCACGGGGTCGTCCTCCTGGCCCCTCGACTCGAAGAAGAAGTAGAACATCCTACACGGGACGAGCGCGAGCAAAGCGACATGGGTCGCTGCGTCAACAAGGGAGGGGGTCCTCGCAGGCAACGCGGCAGAGAGGAGGTGCTGGAGGAGGAGGAGACGGGGAAGCTCGCGCACCTGGCGTCGTGGGTGTTGGGGAGGCGGTAGTACCCCGCGTGGTGGCCGAGGTCCTCCACCGACGTGCCGGCGGCGCCTGCGTTCGCGAAGGACGCGAGGCGGATGGGTCTCTCGACGAGGGTCCCCGCGGGGGCGAGGGCGCCCTCGACGCCGGCGGTGGAGAGGGGCGGGGAGGCGTCAGCGGGGTGGAGGTTGAGCGCGCGGATCAGGTCGACGGCGGCGGAGCGGGGGAACCGCCGCGGGGACGAGGAGGAGGGGAGGCGGAGGATGCTCCCATGGCCGTCCTCCCACGAGCCGGCGGTTGCGGCGGCGGTGACGGCGAGGAGGAGGAGCGGGAGGAGTAGCTGGCCGGCGGGCCGCATGGCTGGTCTGGTCCGGCGACAGGTGGTGGCGGTGGAAGTGAATCGGTTAATCAGAAAAGGGGGCGGAGAGTGTGGAGGTGATGAACACAAGTAGCCTGCCTTCAGAGAGAGGTTAGTGCGAGAAGAGTCAACCGCCACATTAGTGCAAGTGCCTGTTCGTTTGGCGTGTATTAACTGATATGTTACAAGAAAAAAAAATTATTTATTAACTAAAAAATACAGCTTATAAACTGAGTGAACAGAGCGCTACGCATGTCAGATTTTTTCTCGTTGTGCTGGATCCACATGTCAGATAGATTTTTCTCGTTGTACGTACTGGGTTCACCTGTCAGATAGTGGTTTTGAGACAAAAAGAGGGTAGGTTGTCACCAG